TCGTGGACATGTATTCGAATAAGTTGTAAGCGAATTAAAAATACCCAAGGTGAATCTTGTGTATTAGTGTGTGGTTGGACTATAACCAAACCACGTTCTGAACATCGCGGCAGGTAATGCGCAATAACTAATTGAAAAAAATATTCTAACTATAGTTGTTATTATACGCACTACTTTGGTGCATTGCGTTGATTCTTGCCTTTCTGACGATGGCTAGTGACAATTATCGCGTTTTATTAAACAACAGATATAATCTTTCGCGCACAAATATCGTCTTAGCTGGCAACATTCTAGGCAACAAATACGCGCACATTAACTAACGATGACGTCAGACGTCACACTACGAACTCGGCGGATTCGAATGCGATAATTAACCCGGAAACGGAAACGGTGGCAGGTCACTTTCAGGCGATGTTCCCGCACGTAAAAGTAGATCCGGGTGTAGCAGGCCGCTGTCAAGTCATCGTACGATGAGATAGGCGAGCGTCTGCGTGTATCGCTGGGCCACGTTCTTGTGCCAGTTCCATACGCACGTCCGGATTCGAGGTTCGTAGCAATGTTCAGATACCTGCAGCAACATAATGCCCGGCGCACACGTGAGTTATTTTACTCAAGTAAAATGACGCACGAGTCAAATTACTCAACGAAATCCGCCGCACACGTGAGTAAAATGACGCATGTGTCAAATTACTCAACCGAAAATCCGCCGCACACGTGAGTAAAATGACTCATGCGTCATTTTACTTGAGTAAAATAACTCAAGTGTGCGCCGGACATATAGACTTCTTGCGACAAATTCTTGGGTTACCGTGAAGTGGGATTTCTTAGAAAGTGGAGATGGTACTCATCTAGGAAAAGAAGTGGGATTTTACCTAGAACGTAATTATATCCGTTATATTCGGTCGAATGTAGACGTAGATTAAGTTATAAACATCACGTTCGCGCAAGAAAGTGAACAACATGTGTTACACAAGATTAAATGAATATAATTGGATAAATCTTTCCGTATATAAAATCTGATGCGCGAACATCGCAGGGTTAACGTTGCTCATTCAATATTTACGATTCTTTTTAGTAAACAACGACGACAAAATAAAGAACCATTCTTTTGAATGTTGAACCGTAAACTATTTTTATGTCACCTTTAGGCCTACTAATACCACATTTTAAAAAGCCGAAATTAAGTTTACTTGAATGACGAGTTAACAACTGTAGACATTAAGTAATGCGCATTGACCCGGCAGTCTAAATGCGCGTAAGCTTTCAATGATTTTTATTGTTGCTGAGAGTTAATTATTATTATGTATTGCGATAATCTAGTGAGTCATACAACGCTGATCTCTCTCTATGACGTCACGCGATTCGAGAACAGAGATCGTTAGTGCAGATGAAGGCATATACACGCGGCGGAAAACTTGCAGTACCGAAGAAAGCCTAAAATAGTATTGCTATACGCCCTGAAGGTTTAAAAGCTTCATTTTCTGACGTTTGATGTATGATGGGAATTTATATGCGATCTCAATACTCAATTTTCTTTCGACGTAAGCGTAGGCTGGCGCCTGCAGCCAGCGTTTGCAATAGAGACGCGCGAGGATGTAAGCCGCAGACTATCTCGTCGTCTCTAGAACTTGGATACCATACCGCTATCTGACCAACGTATTTTACGCTAACGTAAATTACGAATACGTCGAATATAGATATACAGTGAAACTACGCGGAGACGTCGAGAAATATTCGCTATTGGTGTGTATATATGCGCATTGTAAATATTTTCAGTATTTACGCCGAGCAGCATTGGAAGATCTCCGCAAAATGCAATATCCACAACACTACGCAACCGCCGATCGATCGCCGCTTGCTTAATTTGTAGAGAAAGAAACAAAAATATTAAAACTATGTACACGCACGCGCGAGTACACGTACGCAGCGGCATAAACACACGCGCGCACACACGTACGCACGCGCATAAACACACGCACACACGCACACACACACAACACACACACAACACAGACACACACCCACACACACACGCGCACACGCACGCACACGACACACCACGCACACACACACGCACACACACACATACACACACACACACCCCACACACACACACACACACACACACACGCATGCACACACGACACACGCACGCACGCACACACGCACGCACGCACGCACGCACGCACGCACGCACGCAGACACACTCACACACACCCACTATATATATATATATTATATCTATATATATTAAGTTATTTATATATATATATTATATATATATAATGATTAGTATAAATATATATAGTATATATATATATATATATATATATATATATATTATCTATATATATATATATATTATAGAGAGAGAGAGAGAGAGAGATATATATAGGCAAAATCAGGGATAGTAAAGCAGATAATGATAATGGTCAAAGTTGCGTAAAACGAAATATATAGTAGGATTACCGGGACCGATGATTGTTCGAAAACATACATTGCGCATTTTACGTCACTTTTTATCATCTTCTCACTGTTTTTTATTGAGCCATTTACCATGATATTACTATGCTTATTACACTGCGTTCACATTCTCTCACGACATGTTTTACGCTGGTAATGCAGCTTTCATGCTGCACTTCCCACCGTTTTCCTTCCCTATTATTTTGCGTTTTTTTACCTGAACATGGGACTGTAGGATTGACTGATGCATATCGACATCCATCGGTTGATAGCGATCACCATGAGATTCAGCAGAGACATCAGGCAGGCGACAACGACGATGAGCCCCATCACCTCGCACAGTAGCGGCTGATTCGCAAACAGCGCCACGTGCGTGAACCCTACAAAAGTTACGCACACGCGCACGCGCGCACACCGCGTTATAATTAAATTATGAAGACGCGCGTACACTGCACGACGCGTTCACCTAGCGACGCAGAGTACAGCAACTGTGTGCGCATACGCGTGTGTGCATGCCTCGGTGCTGTGTCTATCTATACCTACATTCCTGCATACCTTCCCTGTGTGCGCTAGTGCTATCGATTGAGTGGAACCCATCCGTACGCACCCGCGTGGGTATTTACGTTCTCCTCGTGAACGCGCGTACAGCGTACTAATTTGGGCGTGACAAGTCTCAATTTAAGCGATATACGCACGCACTCGGGTGATTGGCTACGTGGCTGCGCTTGCAGTCGCTGCATTATTTTTTATTCGGCCACTAATTCGCTCGTAACGACGTTAATCCGACGCCGGTCGCACGTGCGTGTCCGCCCGAATTTCGCAATCACGCCGATATAATTACATATAAAATCTCATTTATACCATGCATGTCATTAAACATTTTTTGCAATGAAAAAGAGTGACATATATGGTTTCTTCACACACGTTTCATTTCATATAGCATTAATAATTCAATAAATAAGCGAATGAATAAATAAATAAATGAATAAACAAGCAAATAAATAAATGAATAAATAAATGCACGTATAGACATTATCCCTCTGTATCCCTTCGTTGCATTCACAAGCCCTTATAAGTTATATATGCATTAGAAACTTGCCTATAAAATCTATCGGTCCAACGATGCCGGTGACAATCAAGTCAGCGATGGCAAGATTCACCACGAAGATATTACAGCTGGATCTTCTAAGCTTTTTCGTTGTCGCCACGGCCAGTATCACGAGTGCGTTTCCAGTTGCTCCCAACACTTACAATGCACAGAGACAATACGGTGTAAGTTCAATCGACGATATCTATGTTTTCTATATCTGTGGTGTTCGATTATTCGATACAGAAACCAATCTTTAATGCATGTCTATCATGGTGATATTTAATCATGACATTATTAATTATTTTGTTTCTTACGTGTGAGAGCCAACGGATTTAATAGAATTGATACTAAATAGCAGCGTTTATATTACCCTACTTACCGACGATAATTATGTCCAAAAATAGGTAGATGGCGTTGTACCATTTTGGCGCGGATACCAATTCTGACTGAAAAGTTGTGTAGTTGACGCCCCATTCGCCATATATTTCACTCGGTAGAGGCATACATATTGGAAACGATGTTTCTCCTGCTGCACTCATTGTCGCTTCACCGCTGTCACACAAGCAGCAATTAATAACAGCTAGCAATAGCGACAACTAACCGCAGAAAGTACGAGATAAGAGCAGATCTGAACATGCCCTACACAGGTCAACGCTTCCATCTAACTTTATACTTTATATATAGTGGAAATGCAGCGTATTTCTGTGGTTGTGACGCACGTTACACTGTAACATCCGGTTCCCTGAGAACTTCCAACGGAAGCTGACGTCATCGTTCAAGTGTGTCAGCGCTTTCTTGAGCGCGCGCGGGTGCGTGTATGGGCGCGCGTGCATCCGCGTGAGCACGTGTGTGTACGTGCGTCCGCGTGCGCGCGCGTGCGCGCGTGTGGCGCGTGTGCGCAAGTGTGCGCTCGTGTATGTGTGTTAGCGTGTGCGTGCGTCTGTGAGTGCTTGTGTTCGTCTATATATGAGTGCTTGTATATAAGACTTTAGACAGATCAGCAGAATCTGGCGTCATCCAATTTATTTGTCATCTCTCATTTGCTTAATGACATAACAACTTTGTGACAAAGCTCCTATAGGGATTACTGTGTTCCGCGGCATATATTACGTTCAGATGAACTAGAGGTAACGAAACTCGGGAAATAATCACAAAAATGTTTCCATGCATATCAGCAATTCCCACTGCCACGTATATGCTTCGCATCCAAAAAGCTGCACTCTTTTTGTTTTTACCTCCCCCTCAAATTCCATGTATTTTACAAGCCCTCCGCCTTATCTACAGAGTGGTTAGTATATATTATAGATTATTCTGCTGAGAGGTGTATAATATACAGTACTGTATCTTAGCTCAGCTCAACGCTTAGCTTAACATAGTAGTGAAATCGTGTGTTACCTTTTTTTACCCCACAGACCGAAACCAACTTTCTAGGAATATTAGGTTTGCTTGATGTAGGGAATTCGTCCAATTCGTCGGTTAGGGGATATGTGTAGGTGCCTATGTAGGCCTATAGTGCCGCCAACCCTTCCAGCCTAGTACACGAACGATCATGCATCGCATATAGGACGCCAAGTAATTTTTGGAAAGATCTTCTGAGGAAGCGTGCGTTCTAACCATTGCCAGATACAGTAATATTTTCACTGTTGAAGCGTAATCAAGAAAATCCAATGCTTTGCTTTTATTTTCCATTGTTTGTTGCAATTATGTTATGTGTTTACCCAGTTCATACAGTTAATTAGGCTAGCCAATTACAATTTTAAACGTGATCGCGCATTCATCTTTGATTTTTGCGATCTTTGAAATTATGTATGATTATTTAATACATATTATCACATCCAAATAATGTATTTAACAGTCTGTTAGGTATAGTTATTAATTAATTAATTCACGTCTATCATTTACTTGGTTGCCTCGATCGTTTAATATTTAAGCCGTCATTGTAACAGTCAATAAATGCAGGCATTGCATGTGTATATCGGCAATGTATTGTTTGGTCATAACAGAAAGTTGTGCCAGTGCTATAAGGTTTAGGTAATTGCATGCACCACTAAATCTAACTTGAAACCGAACTGCATGATAGCAACAATGCTAGGCATCCTGCGTTTCTATGCACAAAACAAATATTTATAGATTGTGTTATCGTTCGAGTAAATTAGTCCATTATTGTTTCTAATATTGGCCATTATACATATATATACATCAAGAGCTAATAATACCTTTATTATTAGCTCTTGATAAACATACAAATCGCTCACACGCATAATATGTTGTATACGATATGTTATTAAAGGGACAACTCCTGCACAGTTGCGTTTGACAAACAAGAGTAGGGTAACGTAGGGTTTATGTAAGCGACTTCATTAATCTAATAGGCCTGGACATGTTGGATTTCTCATTAATAGAAGCCAACGAAGTGTTTCAAATCTTCATAATAACCAAGGTGTCCGTTTCAGAAACGACCGCACGAAAAAAATATTGGAGTACCACTCTGCGTCTGACAGACTATAAGCAGCTGCTAGTGGCGTTACGATCAACACGGTACTCGCCAATTAAGTGGAATTCAATGATGGTCCACGTTTTCACGTTCGCGTGTTCGCGTTCATGGTTCGCGGACCACGAAAAAACACGTTTAAAAACGTTAAATAATGATAGGAAACGGCGCCACTTGTTCGATGTCGAAACTAACTGCGTGTAGGCTCAATCGGGTCCCCGAAATTATTCCCGTGGACGTACCCGCGAAGTCGGATAGATTCCCATCCTCCTATGTCCTGGTAGAACTGTCGTGTCTACATATATATATAGGCAGTGCGCTTTGAAATGTTGCTGTAGTGCGTTTATCGATTTGTCAATATAACTGCTGCAAAATAGCAGCGGCGGGCATTTGTTTATTTGTCTAGTTCTGCATGACAACCATTGACCACCCTGGTTGCTGCACGAGAGCATATACAACCGACGGTAATTCTGACCGAGTGCGAATATGACTAGCTCCAGGATATTGCTTTGATATAAATTGGCTAGAATTGTCTCGTCTTTGCAATATGGAAATCTCCTCGTGAAGACGACGATCTATATAGCTAAGTGGCGTTGTTATGCGTCTGTCTATATGTCGTGGGTCAACCGATGCCAGTTTCTCGAGGGAACTTGAATGGAGAGATCTTCTTGCGGTAGCTCGCAAACGAGGAACCTTATACCCACATTGTCCTCGTCCTTGTCCTCATTGTATTGACGTCAGTGTTTCGTCGCTTAATTCGGCAGCGTGCCTTTATTTGAGGGTTATTTTTCATGATAAAGACGCACACAATCACACTACGTAATATTAGTTACACGTGTAAAAGAAAACTACTCGTTGTCTTAGAACTATATTTATTAACACCAACTGAACACACGATAAATGATAAGCTACAAAAAACTACACTTACACAAGAGGGCAAGATACACACGGATGCTTATTGGGGAATATTAAGTTACTAAAACACTCTCCAGCTACACTCACAGAAACGACTAAAAGGTGAGGCAAATAACACGTTATATTATTCTCTACTGTACAACACATTTCAGTGAAAGTTGTCTGTTGACATTCGTTTGCAGCCATCTTCCTGCTCAATCAACTTTACAGCCATGTACCCCATCCTAACATCTTATAGTTGTTACGTGTAACACCGAAAGGCCTTCTGTTCCTGTCTGTAGTATAAGGCTCAAGACAGTACTTACACGGAACTGATTATATTCTGATAGGTGGAGCAATGGTGGTACTCTGTAAAAATGGTCGAACAGAATATTCCAAGAAAGGTAGATAATAATACATTATTTGTTTAATACCGCACCATTTATTCAATAATTTAAGACAGTTCCTTTGCACAACACCTGTGAAGTTGTTTGTGGACTTACGGATGATATTACTTGAAAGTATTTTACTTGTTTGAGAACAGTGAGATTCTGATATTACAACGTAATATTTATTTGACGTTTTATACATACACGTTTCAACATTAAACATCGGCTTAGACTATACTTAGACGATATAGAAGGAATCCCAGTCAATCACAGAAGACCGAGACAACGCTAAATGGCGTGCCAAGTGCCCCACTTTTCGTGCTGTTGTAAAATGTTCCATGACTCTAGTTTTATTCAGATAAGAATGGGGTGAGATCACATTCTCGTGTTTTATGTTGATTACTGTCTGTGGTTTGCATGTGTTTAGGCGTGAAGGCACGAAGACATCCGAGTTTACACGAGTGTTTTACAAAATACCTTTCGAATATCATGTCTGCATCGCGACAAACAGGTCGTTACTTTGGAATTTTATTTGCGATTTTATTTCCCCCAGCCGAAGATTCCTTTACGTTCGCACTTGCAGTTTTGCTTGAAGAGATTGCATTTGCAGATATATCCTCGGCAGCAGTCATTACGCGAATAGCTGCAGCGACCTCTTGTCATGCAACTCCGCCTATAAACAAAAGAGCAATGATTACGTACACATATTATCAGGAGTAAGATAATATAGATCTATATTTTCTATAGATCTATATAGATCTATATTATCTTACTCCTGATATTATCAGAAGATAATTTGCCTATTATCTACTTCTGATATTATGTTGCACGATAATTACCCGCTTCGGAATTGCTAACGTTCGCGCACGCTATCATAACTATATTTATCGATGTTTTTTTACTCGCGTTGCGTTTGGAAATTTACGTTATTTTATCAGGAGTGTCATAATATAGACTATAATATATATATGATTTTTAAAATTATGACAGCTGACAATTATTAAAATATAACACGGTATTTAAAACTGATAAGCCAACCTCCGTGTTTATCAGTATCGCATTAAGCTCTTACTTGTCTATGTTTTGTAGGTAAGTTTCGAGCGCCATCAGATCCTCTTGGTCTGGCAAAGCGTTCTCCTCTGAAAAAAATGTGGCAAATCCATTACATAATGATGTTGCAAACCGCTATATCAAGTATAGAATGCCTGTTTCGTGACTACAGCTGGTTGCATTGCGACTATAATAAGTTTTAATATAGGCCTACTACGCTTACAGGTTATTATTAACAAAGGTTCGTGTAACCTTTTGCATATACAGTTTATTCAATGGCTGTAGGCTTACATAGCGGCCTTAATCTAAAACGTATAAAAATTCTATGTATACGCAAACATTTATTAAAAATTGCATATTCTTTTCAAAAACCTGTATTCAAAACGATCATTGATATGGAATTACATACTGATACAAGTTTGAGTTGGTTCTTTGTAGTATTGTATTGCATCCCCGCATCACACGGTACTCATTAAAAAGTGTATAGCTATTGATCTACCAACTTGACATTTAACTAATGACATTCAAAAGATATATATAACTAGAAGATCAATGCAACATGCGTCTTATAGGGTTCTATAAACCGCATGCTGAGCGTTGTAAAAAGGTTTACAGGAAAGAAACCTAAATAAAAAAACTGTTTTTGAACCTGTTTACTTGCAAATGAATGCGATCAGCGAACTTATCGATTATCAAGTAATATTGATTACTTTATCGAAACTCAAAACATGGGATACCACTAATTATGTAATATATCAAGTAATCACTATTTTACATATCACAAAATACATGCACAGCATTTAGCAATATCTTTATTTTAAAACTTCCACGGCAAGCTGCATCTCAATGAAATTTGAATCCACCTCTCTTTATTAGAACGGTTATTTCGCTGGATTATTCGGTGAAAATCAAACGATCATAAACGCATACGTCCGAATTTAAACTTACAGATTAGCTATAAAGGCTTCCTCATAAGCGTTGCGTTATTGTTTTTTACAAATAAATTTGATTTAGTTAGTGTCTCAACCGTTATTGTAGGGCTATATATATA